GTACATGAGATTACATCAAAGCAAAATGTGGATTAAACATCAAGAGAGGTCTGAAGGAATGCAGGGGTTGTCCACAAAAGCGTTCATGAGAACTCTGTGGAAGGAGCAGGAGCAACAGGAAGAAACAAGCTGCAGAAGAGCCCTCGCATCAGCACCCACCAGATGCGGTTTTTTGTATTTTTTTGAAGTTTTTAAGGTTCTCCGAAAGTTCACAAAGTCTGAGCATCCCCTCTGTTTCCCCTACTTGCAAAGGAAAAGCCCGGAGCTCTGTCACAGGCAATGAAGTGTCACCCAGGGGTGTGTCTGGCACGTGCCATTGCAATTACCGGGCAGCAGCACGCTCCGCTCGTCAGCACGTAACTAATCGCAGTCACGTGCCAAAAGCTTCAGGTAATTTTAAAAAATAACAGAAGGCAGCATTCAGCCAACTACCTGTGAAATTTGCTGACTCTTCCATTCTTAAAAACCCCCAGCAACCTTCTACAGGCTGAGTTGGAGCAACGTTGAGCCACATTTAGGCTCATCTATAGAGAAAAGTAACTTGAATGAAAGAATGATGTGAATTAGAGAATAGTTGTTCCCAATTAACACAAATATTCTTGCTCCACAAAGAGCCTACCTTGGAGGGGAGTTATTCGGGAACATCACTGCAGAGCAAGCATCATAAAACTGCTTGTCTGCACAGTAGCTGTAAAACTCTGAAATTCACTCACTAGCCTGAATACAAATGAGAATTTCTATGTTTGAGCTCTACCATAACATCAGGGGAAATTGTAACACCCAAATTTAAAAGAAACCTGAAAGACAGACACCTGAAAGACAGACACCATCTTATCATAGTATGGAGAGAGGGCTCCCACCTGTGATTTATTCCTTCCTAGAGGAAGGCTCAGGGTGGGAAGTTAAGATGTAGGGATACATCAAGGAAACTATAACAATAAAGGTGAGGAACATGAATGGCTTCTCCTAGCAGGAGCTTTTGTCAAATACATCTTGAAAAGAAAGCCACTGATTTCTTACTGTAAGAAAATTTGAAAAAAAAATTAAAAATACATACCAGTCATGTGTGACAGTCCAAACTAGTAAATTTCCAAATAGGTTCTAATCTCTGAGCAACAATAAGTTTTTCTTGGTTTTGAAAAAGTTGGTGAAGGTTTATTCAGGGTAGCAATGCACACAAAATACACATATGGTTTAGCTTTATTTTAATTCACAGTTCTCGTAACACTGAGATGCAAGAAACATTTCTCCTGCCAACCAAAAGCCCTGAAGACAACACTTGGGTCTTGAGAAGAGTTGGGTAAGGCTAAGGAGCAGGGAGGCAAAACCAGGTGCTTACGAACAAATGTCACAGAGACAAGAAGGGATACTGACATCTCTGGGTGCTTGGGAGCTCACATCACACTTGCCTCCTGTTAAGTACGGCGGACTTAACCAGTGATGCTGTGGAATAAGGAAGAGACAGTCCACGGGGAAACTCAAGAAGGCACAAAAGTGCTGTTTCAATGTTTTCCTCCCCTACCTCATTCTATCAGTGATGCTCATCACCTAAGGAAAGAACGAGTCATCATTTCATACCTGAGCACTGAAACACTTCCTCATGCCTGGGATGCCAACGAATCCCTCACACGCCCCTAGAAGAACATGATGTAAATAGAGTTGGATACAAAATGCCTGAAGACCCATTAGCTCTGGAGTAACTTCACTTTCCTGAGGGAAGAGGCAGGAGCTAAGAGGAGGGTGAAGTTGGAGGAAACTGAGCTCATCCCATTATGCATTTCACTATTTCATAAGGCACTTGTTGCAGGCTCTTCAGAGGAGCAAACGCTAATCCAAGTGCTCCAAGAAAGACTCGTTTACAATACAGACCTGCTGGCTGAAACCGAGAGCAGGGCCATCTGTATCATCCTAATAACGATGCTCCTGAGAGAAAGGATGAATTGCCCTCTCTCAGTCCCTGCTACGCACCTGGTGCAGGCTGCAATTAAAAAAAAATCTGTCACAATTCGGTGAGTGCTTATGCCTAGGAGCGTTAAGATTTGATTGCCTTTATTTTAGTGTATATGTCTCAGTTATACTGCCCATGCAAGCAGCATCCCTTTGGGTAGTGAGCTATGAATTGTTTTTTCTGGCCACTCAAGCAAAAATTTCCAAATGAGAGGATGGAGCGCATGACCATCCCTTCTTGAGCAGGAAGGGGAGCACAAGACATTGTCTGTAAGGCTCCCTCAGTCATAATATGTGTTTCAGACTGAACAGTCAACAAAAAAAGAAAGATGGAGGCAGGAGTGAGAAGCTGAGGACCCTTTAAAAATATCTGGGAGCAGAAGGCAGCCAGCTCGCTCCACAGAGAGCAGGAGATCAGGACTGGCAGTGCCGTGGTCACAGGGCAGCATTTCCCAAATTACATTGATCCACATCCTGCCCCCCAAGTGATTTTATCAATTGTGCTCTTCCTCTCCCAGATGCAACTCAGCTGTTCCTGAGCTACGATCAAAGTAGCACAGATCCCTACTCCTTCTGCATGGAGCTTTTTGTGCCTCCCCCACTGGGAAATGCCGTTAAAGGAAATACTTTGGGAATATGGGAATAAGAGAAGATATTGCCATCGGCAAACAGAAGGCTTTCCACAAACAGAACACGAGACAGCAAAGAGCAGATACACTGTGACGGGGAAAGCATGCTACAGAGGGGAGAAGGCATGGAAATCGCACTACATTTGGAGAGTGCAGTATTAATATCCTGAAGTTAAGAATTAAAGCAGTTCTAAGTGAAAACCCTCCTGTAGCAACCCATTTAACTCTTTGCAGAACAGGAAAAGGAGATCTAGTGGCTGACGAGGACAACGGACTTGACCCATGATAGAAAGAGAAAACGGCTTTCAGGCTGATATAAATCAAGGGTAAATTAAGGGGACTTCAAGTGATCACAAAATAACTAAAAACAGAAGTTAGAAGAATTCTGAAGTCACCATGCAGTCAAGAAACCAAAGATTTTTAAGAAGCAGTAAGAGGTTGTTTGAAATGGACTGCACAGTGACAGCTAAACAGGAGAATTTCTGAGGACAGGGAGATGCAAGACCCTGGTTTTGAAGAGGAGTCGAAAGGATACTGCAGTGCTCTGTTTTTATAATGTAATAATCCTAGGTGTTGGCTTTCACAACCGGTCCGTGGTGAGCAAGGAGTTGTTCTTCCTTTGATGCATCATTTGGCCTCTGGTTTTTTGTTTGTATTTTTTCCCCAGCTTTTTTTGCTTGGTTTTGCCATCCTCTAGGGTGCTGACGATCAACCACATCCAGAGAGAAGACGCAGAGCATTGGTTCTCATCATGCTGCATTTTATCAGTGGCCTGGCTGGTATGTCCTGTCCACATGCTTCAGGGTTAAAGTCACTATCAGAGCTCAAAAGGAGCTGTCTCAAACTACCCTGCAATATTTTTTGAGGAGGTAATGGTTTCAATCACTCTTGTTTTCTTCCAAAGGAATAGTGCAGTTGCAGTTTTTGGTCTTTAAGACTTAATTTTGTCACTGCTTGGTAAGACTTTGTTGACCACATGTGGCAGTGGGAAGGATGGGTGCTCTGGGGACCCTTCTGAACTGAACACCCCTTGTAGGCTAAACTACAAAAATGTGTGTGATGGTGGGACACAATAGCACCTTTTAGTCCTAACTTCCCAGAGAACCTGAGAAAATTATCACCTTTAAATGTGTTCAACAGTAGTATTAATCAGTGTACTGTATTTAACAGTTTTGTAGTAATTGGTGAGTAAAATGCTATAATCAAATAGCATGAGCAATACACAGCATTCCCAGCATCCCCCAAAACACACCGACATCTATTTCATCATTCAGCTTAAAACACAAACTCAGTTCATTCAATGTTCTGCTTCTGCCACTAGCAAATATCTTGATCCCTCAAAGGAAAGTGACTTTTTCTGTCATTAATCCATCAGACAAGTGCACAACACACAGCTGGAGTGAAAAGATGCTCAGGCTGAAACTTCAAAGAACAAAGCTTCAGTGTGCATGTCCATTTTACTCACTTCAATAGAAGCGTTCCCCATAGTGTTGATCTCAAAACTACCTCCACCTCCTCAAAAAAATTCTCAGTCTTTGTCTTTCTAGCACTATTTCCTTTCCCAAATCAAGAAATTAGAAACAGCCATCACATGAATTCTTCCTAATTCCTTGATTAATATCACTGAATCTCAGTTCTTCTATGAGGCATAATACAAAGAATGCATCTGTTTAAACTTTTTACAGAAATTGAACTGGATACAATCTAGCAGTCCATTCACTTCACTGCTGCCTTGGATCCTCCTGAATTTGTTAGCCTGACACAAGTTTCACAAGCAGAAAGGCTGCCACTACTTTTGCCACAACTTGTGATGTAATTTGGTATTTCTTTTGAAGATTAAATGACTTTAAATATATTTTTTATATTATCAGTTTTTAAAATATCAATAATTTAACCTTCCAAAAGTATAGCACGCGCCAGGACATATTACATTTTTACAATCTTTCCAAGTTAATCTTTTTTTTTTCTCTCCACTTTGGATTACAAATTGATTCAACTGTCTAGCAGTTTGAAAATCAAGACTGCACACAAAAAAGTCCTTTCAACTCCCACTGAAAAAAAAGCAAAACAAAAGAAAAAACTGTAAAGAATGACATCCCAAAACAATCCACTGTATTGAATTCAACCATCACAGTTCAGGTACTATGTAATTACCCATATTATACTTTTGTTTTCTTGCGATCTGCTGCATACCTACTCCAAAATAGATTATGAGACAATCAGTGAATACAGACATGTGATAAGTGTACAGTTGTAACTGAAAAAAGTTACAAACGTGATACTCGGAAAAATGCAGACACTCTAAAGCATTACACTGAGCAGCATGTGTCTCTGGATGCATTTCCAGATGCACACTCTCCATGCTCTCTTCTCTAATCCTCCCATTCATCCAGCTATATGCATAAAAAACCACAAAGACACTGGTTTACATAAAATTATCTCACTCCATTTTATTTAAGATTTTCTTCTCCAGTTAGTAAAAGAAAGATGTGTCTCTCTTTATACATATGTACAAGTTCAGTTATAAAAATAGACAGCACATTCAAAGAGAAAAAAAGGCTTGGCATTTGTCTGATTCCCTCTAAATATCATATATACATGTGAATAGAAGGGGAAGGGGGAGGTCTTCACGAGTTAATTAAACACCACCTCCCCCTCAATTATCCCCTGCAAATCTGTTTAAAAATCAATCTAACTAAGCTCAGTTCTGCTATTTTCAGGTGTGCAAATTAGAGGCAGAGCCAACAGGAAGCACTCGCTCCACACTGTAGGACGCCAGGCAAAGGATTTGGGGTTGGAAAAAAAATTATAATAATAAAAAAAGTCATCTTCCGCTGTCACAGCCCAGACCTGCAACTCAACTTGCTTCTCTCTCAAGGGATGAAAGTGCCCTGGCAGAACAGCCTTTTCATTCAGCGTGTCAGACAGAAGAACTGCCCCACACCTACATCTCAGTGCAATGCAGACAACGCTTACAGCAAAGCAAGGGGCTACGGGGGCGGGTGTGCATTGAGAACGGGGAAGGAGCAACCAGAGAATGGGAACACAGATGGGCACTGGCAGCGCTGCCCCTGGGACACGGCTGCTGGTACCCGCAACAGCGCAGTGAACTCAACCAAGCTAGCATGGGTAATGATCAGGATGAAGGGGAAACACCTGGGAAGAACAGGCAATGGATGGCTGGGATACAAGACCATTTTTGACCGAGGATTTGGCTGGAAGGGGGAATGGCACAGTTTTCTCTCTTTCTCAGGACTGTTTTCTGTTACTCCCCTCGCAGCACTGCGAGCTGCAGAACCACACTCTGCTCCAGCACAGTGAGGGGAGCAGCAGCAAACTCTCTGCTTTCCCTCTTCTTCAGATTTGTACAAATAGAGCCTTATTTTGTTTCTATGCTTTTAAGAGTTCTGCACACCTCAAAAGTGAGAGAAATCATTCTGAACACAGCCAGCATTTGTGCTGATGACAACTCTGAAATGCACACCAAACTGCTGGCCCGCGGTTTCTTCCACTGCATGAAACAGCGGCAGTGCTGCTGCTCTCACTGGCCTGCCAGCCTGCTCTCTATTCTGTGACTCTGAACCTGCTCCTGACAGATGGTGCTGAAAAGAGTCCCTTCCCTGGAAACCACCTGAGACACCTTCCCTTGCATTTCAAACCTTTGAAGAACCCAGAGGCCTGCACTAGAGGAACCCGAGATTATTCTGATCACATAACATCTTCAGCTTAGCCCCCAATTACCCCCACAAGTACTCTAACCAGCTGCCAGTATGGAAATGTCTTCTGACTTTAAAGGATACTCCTGGGGTTCAGATAATGATTTCACAGGATAAAACTAATGCTGGGTTCCACCTCAAGCTACAAGAGAGAAAGTATACTGGTGTGACTTCAAGCACACACAGCTGCAGGATATTGCATGGAGCAGCTGGATGCTTTCTTGGGAATCTCTGTCAGATGCATCAATAAAACAGAAGCTGACACTCTCCCACTTACCCCAGACTCCCTTCCCTCCTCCTCGCAGTGTCTGCAAAGATAGTTTTTTGGAATACACATAATCAAAGTGCTCACATAAACCACCCACTCCCATTGTGCTTTGATTTTCTTTTCACACACGTGCTGGACAGCAACAAGGCATTCGTTTGTATGCCTTCGGCTGGCAGGGTGGTCTACTCTGAAAGCCAACACAGTTCAGAAAAGCTTTGGGGGTTCAAAATCACTACCGACCACCTGAGGTGTGGGCACCTTTGCTTTGCTTCCGAACTGGAGTTTCTGATATGAGACTGCTGGTCAGGTTTAAGCTTTTGGGGGTCCCACAAACACTGTTTCCTTTGCTCAAAGGGGAGCTCAAGGGAGAAGAGGCGCTCGAAGGTCCAAAATCTGCAAGTCCAGAAGGCCGAATAATTGCTGTTTGTAGAGGACTACTTGCAGACATGCCTAGCAATGGAAAAGAGAATCGAATCCTATGTGAGCATGTTATTCCACTTGTGGCTCTTCAACAACAAACAGTATGCTAACAATCAGTCCTAAGACCACCCTGTATTCATGATTTATGAGAGCTTAATGAAGGGGGATGTCCTTAGGATACAAAACATCTTGCAGTTATACCCAGGGTCACCTTCCGCTGGTGTAAAGCTGAAGCTCTGTCACCATCAGTTTAGCAGATTTTTGGAACCTGATGCTGTAACTTCAAAGTGACAGCAATGCAGGAAAGCCACAGCCATACCCATGGGATAAACAACACTATCCGATTTGTCCGGACACCAAAATAAAAACCAAAATATTTAGTATGAGAGAATTCCTGTGCAGATGAAACTTCTGCAGGACTAGCCTCTCAAGGTCATCTGCAGTAAAACTGGCTATCCTCTCACACCATTACTATGTCACACTGTATATTGCCTGGATCTCAGAATACAATGGACAAGCAGTACCAACAATACAACATTTTTTATCTGTTTTTTTGACAGGCTGTAAACAACAATCACCCAGACTCATGTGGCTGGTTCTGCTCTGGGTAGTCTGCTGCCTCCCCTTCCCCACATACCTTTAGAGACATTGTACCCGTATGCTGCGTATGCCGCTCCCCTGCTTGGCCCCCTGCCATTGCAGCTGCACTTCCTGCTATCGATTTCCTGCTTCTGCCTTTCCCAGTGCCGCCTTTTGATCCACTGCCCGAACCTTTAGGACGACCCCGGCTTCGACCTGACTGGCCTCTCCCAGTGAGAGGTGTATCTTGCATTGAAACACCTTAACAAGAAAAGAATGTTAAAACAATTACTAATATAGTCTCTCAGATGACTCACAAATTAATACAGCCTCATAGCTACCTACCATTTACATCCATACTGTTCCTATTAACCGATACTTTTCATTTACATTAATACGGACACTATTAGCCAGCAGTGATCCCGTGACAAGGAAGAATGTATACAAAACTTCACTTTTCATTAACCACATCTTACTAACTTGAATTACTTATTATTATTATGAATCTAATCCACAAATAGGTGGAGGATTCTGGGTTCTACTTCAGGGTGAAGCATTTTCTTATTTGAAGATAAATATGAAGTTTCTTCAATTTGCTACCTCTAAAGAAACTCGCCAAGAACTACAGCTCTACTTATTTCAGTGTAGAAAACTATGGAGGTTAAAAACATTTGCCATTATTTAAAATTACAGCTGCTCCAAACACCCACTGGAAATAGAGAACCAATTATTAGCCCAAAAGCAAAATCAAGGAAAAGCTTAGAGATTAATAGTTCTGTGGTTGTCTGTAATTTGGTAATATGCACATAATGGAAGGAGCGCCGTCTATAATACAGGAACAAAGGACAAAACTTTTAAGAGTAACTAACACAGAATCAAATCATAAGTAATTTCTCAATGAAAAGGCAATTTGTTTCCCCAAATCATGCCAACCATGCATATACTCTGGTTAGAACACAGAAAATGTATCACCTAGCCATACAAATTCAATGGTTAATAAATGTTAGTAGTAAAGGCAAAAGTACTGACCATTTATGGTATCTGAAACTGAGCCGGTAATGGAAGCAGGAGAGTTTGTTGCCCTTGACTGTGGTGCTGAAGAAGCTGGATCGTCCACAATCACAAGCATATCACTGCTGCTCTCATCGGGAGGGATAGAGCCCATATGTAATTCACTGCTGATGGATATCTAAACATGACAGAGAACAAAGCTGTTAGCTTCTCAAGTTAGGAAAGGGAAGGGCACAAGCATAATAAGATCTTTAAAAGATATACAATCACAAGTAATTAATTGGTACTTGTTCTGTTCTCCCTCATTTTCTCTAGCAGCATGATGCATCATCTGCCTAAGCACACCACACCCTCTATTTACATGCTGAGCAGAAGACCTCCAGGAGCTACTGAATTTCAATTAATGAAAATAGATGTTAAGAGGCAGGAGAGTAACAGTCTCAGCAGAGATTTAAGAAAACTGCTGTTCAACTGTGCATCTTCAAATGCAAAAGAGAAAACAACACGATTCTTAACTTACCACTACTGCTAATAAAAATCCTGGTCAATAAGGGAACAATACAAGATAGGAATCTTAATCAACACAGTATAAAACAAAATGCATTTGCTGCCAAAACCAGTTTGCAATTCTTTACAAAAGATGAAGGAAAATAAGATGTGTGCCATTGAGAATTTACAATTTAAATTCCAGAGAAACAAACACACTAATTCAAAACCAGAAGCAAGGAAGGAAACAGAGAAGGAGATGTAGATGAGATTAGCGAGGAGTACTTGCAAAGAAACTGAACATCAAGGAGCTATTTGAGGGATACTGTTTGGTTCAAGAGCAGAAAGAGACCGTTCTTGCTATGAAAGGTATTGGTATGGAAGAAGGCACACAGTTATAAATGTGAGTATGACAAAGACAGGAAAAAGGGAGGAGAAAGTAGGAAGAAAGTAAGTAGGATGGCAGGCAGCAATGGAAAAATTTCAGGGGCTGAAAGGCAGGAGAATCAGGGTATGAACTCGCTGTAAGGAAAGGGAGGCAGAGACCAAATGAAAAGGGGAATAATGGAATGTCAAATAACATCAGGAGCTGTACAGCAGCTTATTAGCAGCTGTTATTTTTCAATAAATTATTTCCATTTCCATGGTTCACCTTTTAAGACACTTCACTTCCCCACATACTTGAAGTTCTACACTAGCTACAATAATAGAAAGCGGGAATCCCACAGGATGTAAGGCCACAATCCAAATAGTATATAGTTTAAAGCAGCAGTGAGTCTTACCTCACTGAAAGGGCTGGGCATGGCAGAGTCCACACTAATGAAGGAGTCATCCCCATCAGCAGAGAGGTTGGAGTTATCAGCTGAGGGAACAAACGGGATCACAAGGTTCATGCCCTCTTTCTTTCTCTTCCCATCCAATTCATCTTCCTTCTTCTTCTGAAATAAATAAAACAATACCAGAAATGAAAAAGACAATAAAACAGAAGAAAGGGAATAAGCAACCCAAAAATCTCAACCCCTAATGCAGTATTAGAACTCAAGGAACGCCATGTCCAGAATACCCAGAACAAGTTTCTGAAGGACACAATAACAGATACCTTAAAGGCTCCTCCTTTAGTTTTAAGTAGAGTTTGTTGGGTTTTTTTCTTCCTAAAATAGCTGGAATGTTGGAGAACTACTCTTACATAATTAATTTGATTTCCACTACCTGTGGGAGTTTGAAATTTTTTACCATTACACTAAATTCCAATTAATTCATGCAAAGCCTTCCTGGCTCAAAAATTCAGAATTTTCATAAATAAATTTTAGTTTTTCAATTTCATAAACTTTCATAAATCTAGTTTTAATGATCTTTTTTAAACAAACTGATCTTCCCTTGTTCCACAGAAGAAACATAATGATATGGGTCTATCTGTGCTTGGTGCTTCATTTACATTCCCTTTTTGTCCTTGCTGAACAAAATCTTCATTGAGTCACCATTGTATATGCTGTAGAATGATCAGCTGATCATTTTGTTTTTTTCAAGCATGAGTCCTCAAATTGTCAGGTATGCAGTACTTCCTTATTTTTCAAGTTGCTAATGATACTAAAATACAGATAACTATGCTGTGTGTATTTTGTAGTATCTCTTGTCTGTGTAAGAAAGTGCCACAGGTTGATGTTCACTGGAAGAAGGCTTTGCTCATTAGACTGCCTTTGCATGAAGTGTTTCCACACCACATAACAGTGAGCCTGAAGCTCTTCCAGGTCTATGACTGAAACAGGCAACCTCTTTGCATCAAAGTACCTTTTCAGCATATTTTTCCCTTTTACGTTTACGTTCCTTCACACGATTTGTTTCTTCTTGCTGTCGCTTCTCTTCTTGACGCTGACGCACTGTCGGAAAGGAAACACAAAGTTGTCACCACTGGAAAGGTATTTCATATCCCTTTGTGAATCTTACAAGAAATTCTAGTTCTAACAGAATTGTGAAGAAAAGTCAGCTATGTTAAAACACATTGAAAACACAATTGTATTAAAACTGTTTGTATCGAAATTACTAAAAAGTCTTACAGTAAAATTCTTTCAAGCAACATAAAAGCGTATACTCCTAATACAGCTTCAAAAGTATAATGAAATACAGCATTTTTACTGATACTTTTCTTGCCATGACCTACATAATTCTTGTCAAAGCTTTGTCATTCAGGAACAATGCAATGATCCTGAATGAGTGCCAACAAAAACTTTATCACATCATCATGTCTCTTGCACAACTTCATCTCTCAGCTCAGCAGTGATATGAAACCAGCTCGTACTAACAAGAGTTGGCAATACAAAAAGAGCCAGGAAACAGAAGTTGTTATCAGCAATACATGTGTTTGTAGAGATAAAAACACAGATTTCATAAGCTAATGAAGTGGAAAATAGGGAAAATGCTGCAACACAAATTTCACATACATTTCTTTTCTAGTTCCTCATCATCCAGCAGAAGGCTGACCACCTCTTTTGGCTTCAAGGTGTCAGGTTTGAAATTGCCACCTGAAATCACCATTCTTTGGATCTAGAAGGAAAAAAACAAGAGAGGCAAAAAAGGAAAAATTACTCAATGCAGCCATGAACCATTCTCACTACCCTTCACTGAAAACCAGCCAAAAAAAGGTGCCAGTGCATCTGTCAGAAGCCAGAATTGATGCAGCTTCTCTACCATACCAAAGTTAGTAGCAAAATTTCAGGGAAAATTTAATTAAGCGTATAATTAAGAGCATAAAATATGAGAAACAACCAAGCTAGAAAGCAGGAAACTGCCCATCCCTTGTGCAAAGTTGCACTTCTTCTAAAACACCATGTAATAAACAACAAATCGTAACAGTATTAATATACTGCAGAACAAAAAGGAAAAATACAGTAATAATCCTATGAGGTATAAATTACCAGTCCATTTTTTCACAAAATCTGCACAGACGATGATGCAGATCACATTCTTAAAGGGTACAACATTTTTAGTCTCCTTGACTGAACACTAAGTCTCCATATTGAATCAGTGTCTCTGTTTAAGCAATTTACTCAAGTTCTATTACTTGCAACTATATTAAAAACAAAGCAAAACAAACAAACAAAAAAAAACCCCAAAAAAGAGTTGTAACTTAGCAAAAGAAGCTTTAGCGTAAGTCAATTTTGATGATTTGGATGACCAGCAAAAACCCTACACTTTATTTTTAGGTTGATTATCAGGTGACTCTAGTGCAGTCTCATAGAGAAAACGGGCAAGTTTCACCAATGGAAATGTGAATGCATTCACCTGGAGATGTTTCAGTTGCTGCAGCACCAAGATCATCTAATTAGATAAAAGCTAAAATAAACCCCAAGAACACAAAACATGTGAATGCTGTATACAGTATGCCTACTGCTACCAAAGAAGGTGAATATGCTTAATTTTTTCTTGCCAATAAAGCGTCATGAGGTTTAAAGTTTCTAAGTACGCTCACTGCTTGATGCTGCAGGACTGAGCTCTTCTGGCAACCCTCATACCTCAAATAATTTTCACTTGATTACCCTCCAAATTTCTTTAAAAAAAAATTCAGCTGTAGTATAACAGTATAACATGAGAGGAATCAGTAGCCCTGATACAGCAAAGACAGAAGCTCTAGTCTGAAAGAAGCCTCAGTAGTGTCATTGCATCATAAGAAACAGTTTTCATGAAGTCACAGTGTAAATAATTGGCTTCTTCCTAGTTCATATAAAGCAGCTGTAATGCTGCTGTGTTAGGGACACATATTTGTTTATTTAAACAAAGACATTCCCTTTTGGCTTCCCTTCTGTCTCCCTGCAGATAATATACTTCTTCTGTTTCTTTACTCATTTTCGTATGTGTTTTCTGACACCATTTCTGTAACTTCTTGATCCAGATGATTTCTTTATTCCTACCTCACTCTTTTCCTTAGCCCTTTGTAAGATGCGCTCCTCAATGGTGCCTTTACATATCAACCGGTACACAGTGACTTGTTTTGTTTGACCCAGTCTGTGTGCCCGGTCCATGGCTTGCTGGTCTACTGTTGGGTTCCAATCACTGTCATAGAAAATTACCTGCAAAAGAACACCAGAACAGAAAGGATTAAATAAAACCATACATTTAGAGCACCTCGTGATTAAACAAACAAAAATTGAACATACTGATAAAAATAAAAGTTCAGCACTGCACCCCACAGAATTACTGCCCCACTAAAGCCTGTATTAACGTAGCTTTGCCCAGGCCCATGAAGTCTTTTCCACTGCATTTCAGGTGAATTCAAACTAATTGACACTGTGAATGTTCCAGCTTCCATAGAATGTCTTTAATATCTTCTACAACAAGTCTGCTTTGGAGGCACAAAATTCCAAAGTTTGTCACCACATTAAATCAGCATCATGTAATTAACTATAGGCTAACCACATCACGAGCCCATTTTAGTGTTACTTACCTTAAGAAGAAAAAGCCCATCAAATTAGGATTTCACATGAAAAGTAATACTCAAACTTTTTTTCTTTCAAACCTGGATAAAGTCTAGACCAGTCTAGTCTAACACTCCTAATGCTTTAACTACAAAAACCTGAAATGCCACATTACATTCACATTGCCCTATCATTCCAATAGTACTTGATGCACAGCATGCATGCCGAACAAAAACATTTAAACAAATTTTAGACAGCAAAGTAAAATATTCAGAAAGTTACAAAAACACAGAACCAAAAATGCTCGTGCAAGGAGCCTGCAGAAGCATGGCTGTGCTTCCATCTGTTTATTTCCTCTGTTGAAGCAACTTCAAGTGAGAGAACTTAAACACTGAAAATCCTACAGATACTTACTTTCTTCTGATTTTGTGTAAGTGACAGCACGATCCAATGGAGTATTTTTAAAAAATAATTATGCAATATTTTTGATTCAGAGACATTTGGTTTTGTGTGGCTAAGGACTACAGTCTGTCTTGGGGTCAAATCTGCATGCACACAAGGTATTTGGTTAGAAGCACAAGAACAGCTGTTATTGAAGAAATGAATGGTTCGTGTAGGTCAGTATTCCTTCCCTAATGATTAATGCCAGTTGCTCCAGGATGCAAATCCTTGCAATTCACCTGTATCAGTATGCCTTTACACCTTGGGTGAGTAAGGGGGAAGAGATCTTCCCTTCCTGACTAGCTGATACTCGACTACAAATGACTTCATACTTCTAGAGGCATTGCTTCATTCTTCTGTGCACAGAAAAAAGGGTAACCGACACCTGTTCTACTGATTCCTTCACTGCGGAACCTTAGAGCAAACAGTCATACACAACATTCACTTTATGAAAGTGTCACTTGCATCTGTAGGTCCTTTCAGTCACCTAGCTCCTTTCTAGACGCTGGTACTGAAGTATGCAGGGAGAAGGAAGACATTTCCAACTCCAACCAAAAACTGTGTACCGAGCGTCCAATATTCTACAACTTAATCATCAAGATAATACTATATTGTAAATAGGAGCAAAGTAAACAAGGTTATGCAATTTCATGATGTGAATGTTAGTACTAAAAAATATTGATCAGCATGGCTAAAAGAGAACTAAAAACTTTCACACAGGAAGACCCATTTTCCTCCATAAATCATGAGTCTGGAAGGCAGGACATGAGCAGCTTGGGAAAAACAGTGGCTGGAGGCATATGAAGCAGAAAAAGCCAAGATATATTTATACTGAAAATTATACATCAGTAAGCTCATTTTTTATTCTGTATTACTCTACCAAACTTCACCTACCGTATCCGCAGCTGTAAGGTTAATGCCCAAGCCCCCAGCTCTTGTGCTTAGCAGGAACACAAAAATATCATTCCTGTAGAGAAAAGAGATGAAAAACCTCTTATTTTGTGCATGATGAATAAGAAATAACCACAGAAGTAATTTTTTTGACTCATATAAAATGATCAGTGCTATTTCTGTTACTTGAACACTTCAGAACATTTTGTGCTGCTCATGGTCAAGAAAAAAAAAACATGAATAAGAGAAGTTAATCTACAAATCAGGACTGCTGGAACACGCAAACATTCAGTTTGCAATAGCGGCCTATTAATCGCTATCAAAACAAACCAGGGCTTGTTTATCTTGCCCACACTGGAAATTAAGATTTCATATGGACCAAGAACTATTTATTGTTACGCAGAACCAATCGATGTTAAAAAAATCTTGCCTTAACAATGTTCAATTGATAAAGAAAGAAAAATAAATGTTGAAACAGGGCAGATCCAAGTTTTGTTCTAAATTTGGTGCTTTGAACAGAACAAACAACTCCATGGGGAGAGAGGAAGAATAATCTTAATATAAAAGCAAGCTGGCAAATAAAGAGGCACATTAGAAAAGGACAGGGGTCCACTGGCACAAAGAGAAGTCCTTTAGTTTAAGAACTTCTCAACTCCGGTCCTAATTGTGTTGCTGATTCAAATTAAAAGTTCTAATCTCTTTTGTCGACTTTTCTTACCTGTAAAATGAGGGTAAACTGATTCATCTCAAGATAGTCATATAACAATTAAGTTGTGATTGATTGTAAAATGTTTCTAGGATGACTATGTAGACAGTACTAATGATCAGATATCACACAAAAGGAAGAGTCATTCATTTCACTCAAATTATTTGCAACACACTGTCTATAAGTGAAATCCATCATTACTGCACACATGCTGCCCTTCACACCTTGGAGCATTTTTAGTTTGCACTAACTGTACTACGTTTACATTCCTTGGGATTCCTCAGGCATCATGAAAGTCGATGACAAACCAGTTGCCTTTGGTGAATGTGGCCCTCTGGACAGAAGGCCCTAGCAGAATATGGATTGTTATCCCACAACACACTTCAGGGTTAGGCTTGCTGGCACCACATTCAGGGATGCTGGCTGCTGTAAGAGAGATGAGGAATCCCAATAGCTGACTTGGAAAAATCCTCCAAGCCTAATAATCCTTTACACAGCGAGGAAGGTGGGGCACGCTACCTGTAAGAGTTCATTAAGGCCTAGCTACAATCTGAGGAGTCAGACAAAATGGACAACTGTTGAGATTCAATGGGAGATTCAAAGGAGACAGGTCTATATGTAGGATGACCATGTACTGATGAAAACTCAAGTGGTAACAGCGAAATCAGGATTTCTGCTAAGGCTGTGAACCTCACTAGTGCCACTGGGGGGGTAGCAATATTTAAAAACATTCAACACCGTATGGATCTGGTGATATTTGGATGGATCGTGAACTGGTTGCTGCAAACAAAGTAGACAGTACCAGCCAGGATTCCAAAGAGGTTGACATACTGTACTTGGACAGTGACAGCACAAGGCTCTCTGCTTAGAAGACACTCTGCCACACCACATCCTTTCGGTATCACACTGTCTGTACACTAGTGCATGCAAAATTCATAAAGCACCAGAAACTCTTGCTGAATGAGCAGCATGGGTCATTTCCTTCTTGACCAACTATGTGTAGGCAGTCTGTCCTTTAAAGTCCACTCATCAAATCTAAAGGGTATTTTTCTTGTCCTTCCTGGAAGAAGTGTGGGTGTATTGCATGCTATTTCGCATCTGCTAGTACAGCTCAACAAATGTAACAAACTAAGGGTTTAGGAATCCATATCCTTGAAGGTCAAGCAGAACTATTTTCTCAAGACTCAAACTTCAAGACATTCACAAGTACCCTGCAAGGTTGTATCATAAAAACCAGACTCTCAAATAACCCATTCTGGTCCAAGGCAAGATTTCCCTTTGCCCCACCTGAAGAAATTACCAACAGACAACAGAAATTATTATGAAAACAGTGAACTAATGCACACACAAAAAGTGCCAGGAACTCTAAAATTAGAAAGGTTTCTGGCAGTCCAAAATCTAAGAGTACAAAAATCCATCCTGAGCTACAACGAGCTGGGAGGAACTGAAGCCAAGCTGTCACTCGCTAGACTTTATCTTGCAGGTACACAGCCAAAGGAGTCAGCAGGTGCCTGTTCACGAGGTAGGTAATCCTTGGCCAGGAAATCTTTTCACTCTTCTAACAGTAGGACATGCATATAGACAGTCACCTGAACATCCAGCTGTGAAATGCTTCTGGAAATGCCATACGGGAATGAAAAGAAAGCAGACCATGCTGCCAGACTACAGGAACAAATTACGATTCCATAGCTATATATTTTCAGCACCCTGCTAGGATATCCTGCAGGATAGTTTAGTCTCAGTCAGGCTTTTTTTCCTGGAAATATTTCTCATAAGTAAATCATCTATAAGAGGAACTCAACTAACGTTCTAATAGCAATTCTTGTTTAGACTGGCTGACCTGTATCTCAAAGGGATTTCCTGCCGAAATTATTATTTTCCTTCAGTTGTTCTATTCATTAATGAAACCAAATTTCTTCACTTCTTTTGGTTAAAGAACCTTAGAGGAAGAACAGTCAGGATGTCAGGAGGACATCATAACCTCCAAGGAACCTGTTTCTGACATCTGCAAACAGAGAGAAAGGTACTGCATGGTCCTCTCACTTACTTCAGGTATTTGGCACCTGTTCTTTGCAAGGTTTAGTGCTCTGAGGAGTTCACTAGAAGACTCTCATCATTGCAACACAGTCCTTCAGGTCTTTAAGCCTCGTGAACTAGTGGCCTGAGAGGCTGTATATGGCTTCCCCTCCTATCTTCAGCTATGATACCTTGGGACTGCTAGCAAAAGGACTATAGTCCAAAATGCTGCTTTCACCCCACAATAAACAAAAATCTATGAACCCAACTCCTCTGAAAAAGAAAAGTGACCTTCTTACAAGCTCACATCAACATCCAGGAAGGGTAACCTTCCTGTGAACTACCATACCAAAGCGACACCTTATCAAGCCATATCTCATGGTTAAAAGGAACCTTAACAACCATAAATTCAATCATTATAGACAATGCACTCTAGCAGAGACAAAATTACTCTAAAATACATTAACTTATCATTTACATACCCTTCTTTTCTGATGTGCTCCTAAAAATTCTAAGAAACTATTTTGTTTTACTAAATCAAAAGGGTTAGCTTATCTTACTATCTAATAAAATCCAATTTTTATCACTTGTATATTAGTTTAAGGTTTCTTAATAAAACATGCTTAAAATGGTTTGTTCTGCAGAAAACTAGGTCACTTTCAAAGTCCTAGCGTATACAAGATTTTAAATCCCATCTTCACAGTGTCAATTGTCAGAGCACATAATAACCAACAAACATGTGCTGCCTTCCTACTGAACTTATTTATAAGAGATAACATATTTGGAATGGTAAGAAGCACAATAGGTGGGTACACTGAAACTGCTTCCAATACTGTTTCACAGATGACAAGCTCCTAAGTACAACTGGGTTCGATATCAATACCAATGACTCCTGGTCAGCAAACCACCTGGAAACTGTTTCAGATAAATGAGGTCCACTTGATGTAAGGATTTAACTGCAGATTTATTTCCAATACATCTTATACCAACTCTCTATGTACACACAATTTAGCACATAAACTCTTTGTAAAATACATTACCTGTTCTGAAAATCGGCTACCATGTCCCTTCGTTCAGAAATCTTTGAAGAACCATCCAATCTCATGTAGGTATGTTTCCTATAAACCATGTATTCCTGCAAAGAACACACACCAGAAAAATGTAGTTGCTCTTGAAACCGTTCATTCTTGATTCTTCCAGAAAACAAAAGCAAAATTGCTACTTACAAAACCAAACCAAAACAAACCCCAAACAAACCAAACAACCCTAAATGTCATCAACAAATATGTTATAAGCAACCTTATGCCAGACCACCCGATCTTGTTTAGTGTAAGGGGTCACCAAGCCACCAGAAGTATCAATCTACGAAAAACAATGAAAATGGCCCTGGTAACAAAGTACCTATACAGGAAATGAACAACACACAATGACTCGAGTATGGTAAGAATGCAGCGCCGTTAAAGTCAGTGTTCTTCTGGGCTTTGACACTGATACTCTCTCAAAAAACGTAAAATATTCTCCCTTCATGTTATTTCATAGTCCAACTTGAGTACTCTTATGTTTTAACAGAACCAAAAAACTTTTGGTAGAATATAACAAAGACATTTTAATTCATGCAAAATGTAATTTGACCCCTCATCACATTAATGTGATTCCCACTGAAATCATGGACAATCACTCTTCCATACAGGAGAAAACAATCATATTGAGAAAAACAAACATGAAAATCTTAAAAAGTATGACACACACACCTGCATGAAATAACAGTACTGAAATTATACTTTATCCTGTTAAATTAAAATAATTTTCATCTTTGTACTTATATCTGCCATTTTGTAATGGCTGAATTAAAGCAGCAGTTCTTCATCCGATGTTAAATCAAACAAACTTGGTTTTATAACTTTGTAAACAATGTGTTTTGTGCTTTCTGCCCTGCACAGATTAGGTTAGTATAATACCATAGTAGTTACACTGACACTGTCAAAATACTGTTAAAAGAAATAGGACATGTTACGTTCTTTCATATTGCAGTAAGCAGAGGGGGTGTATTTTGTTATTTCTGGTCAGTAAAAAAGTAAATATCTATTACTACACAACTTTTGCAAGGATATTCTCACAAATGGAGTCCTTACTTGATTTTTAGCTTGCTTAACTCCAGCTTCTGTTAATGGGCGTGGAGAAGGAAAAACAGAGGACTTGGTACACAGCTTGTTTGGGTAATAAAACCCAACAAGTAAAGTTGAGCATTTAGGAGGTGGAATAGCAAAATGGTGTGCTCCCAAGCCTTTAAAGTGGAATGCTAACAGAAAAGACAGATCAACTAAACACATGGCTTTATGAGCTTCATGGTGTAATGCAAGGTGTCAACAAACCTGCATCATGTCCAATGCTTCCCGAAAAAAGAGGCAGAGGAAGCAATGCTGGGCAACGAGACAAGATACAGAATTGCAACCATGCAAGTTCTGTCTTTCCTTACAGCAACAAAAACAAATTTCAGCTTGTGATTTGTTACTGAACTACTAACTGCTGACCTCAAAATGCACTCCTGCTCATACAGGACTCATGATATAAGCAGCTATTGACTCAGACTTCTCATTTTTTCTCTTTACTTTTTTGTGGAGAAGACAGTATCCCATGCCAAACACTGCTGAAGGAGCCCATGTACACCTAGGACTAATGGCTGAAGGATCACAGAATCTTGATGTTTTAGCGGTACTGAAAATAGATTGCCAAATGCAAATATTTTCCCACCTTATATTTATTCACAGTCAGGGAAGTTTATCAGGCTTGCCTCTTTGAAACTAACGTACATCACGTCTCCTATTTTTTTACTCAGATAGCCATGAAAGTTACTACTACTAATCCTTCACTGATAAGGGACAGAGGAATTGTAACAGAAGACATTCTTCAGATCCAGCCAAAAACTCCAACTTGCTGTCTTCAACAGAAGCCCAGCGAAATAAAAGGATTTTTTTCTAAGCATTATAAGTATTACCAAGAGGAAAGCAAATTAATAGTTCTCCTACTAATGTCTCTTCAGACTAGCTCTTTGGTGGCTGGTTGCTAATCAAATACTTTTTTTTTTTCTTCTGAGGCAGACTGACTATTCAAATAATGAGTATTGACTTAATTGCTAATTTCTTTCCTATCATATAAGCCAGAGAACCTCTTACTATTAAACTTCT